TGAGTGTGTATCTAGTGTGATTCGAACCCATGTCGTTTGTATTGGGCGTTTTTTTATTTTCCATGTTAGCTACGCCGTAATATGCAACCACTTCCCCGTTTTATTGTGATTTTGAGTGTTTAATGATGTCTTCCTCACCCGTCACGCCATGACCCAGTTTCAACCACACGGCCATTTTGCAACACAGTTCGTGACCCTCGGCGTCACCCGACTGACTATATGAGTGTTCTGTTCAACTGTTAAGCTAGGATTTATTACCGTTATTATCATTATATTGTCACGTGATTTGTTTTACCTTATGTGTAATGTCTTAAGTATCTTTATTGTAATTTGTATATACCAATTCGTATATACCGAGGAAACGACCCCGATTGAAGGTCATGTATTTTATGACGTCACCAATTCGTGTGTAGGTACTGCTTCTAGATCTGTGCCATCAACCGTCATACAAGATCAATAATAATTTACAAATTTACACAGTAAAAATTATAAAAATACATACACAAATGTAGCTGTTTGAAAGAATTTCTCAGATCTTTATTTGTACGTTCATTGCCATCTTCGTCAAACTCAAAACCCTCAAATGTCCACTATAGCTGTCGATCAAAATCCCTACTTATTCCTGAAGTTCGTTGATATCGTCATGGTCTCACACAATTTAGACTTAGCACTTTTAATCCATGGATTTCGCAGTCTGTCAGCTTGGCACTTTTTATTCATGTCTAATCATAATAAGGAGACAAGAAAAATGGGGTCGCTCTGCTGCAATGGCACACGATGTTTTTGTTTACAGTCGAGCAATCATCTTTGACCTTTATGCATCTGCTTTACTGATTGGCTAAATATTACATCACTACTAGTATTTCATCATAAAGGTCAAATTGTGACATTGCTTTCTTATCAGACTCGACGCTTATTAATCACGGTGAAAGTTATCATTCAGCAAGCTCCGGCGGTTGGAATGTCTCACTATATGGATATCCGCGGTGGACTTGAAATAGGAAGTTTTTTTTTTTTATCCAACGACAGAAGAATAGTTTTCATGACAGAAATGCAATTGCGGTAATAAAAGATGGTAACAAATTTGGAAGTTTTCGGCGTGACATTGCAAAATTGCTGGCCCCAGTTATGGATTCTCAAGCTGCTACAAAATATTTATAAAGCCAAAATAACGTGATTTCAACCACTCTCCCAGGTACGGGTTGCTACAATATTGCAACATTGTTTTCATTGTCGACGACACTAAAGCCGAACGACTGCAACACTTGCTTAGCGGCTCTCCTTATACGATTTGCTTGAATTGTCTCTAAGGAAGCACAAACCAAACAGCCTGTCCTTTTTAGGGCCACGACATATTTCAAAAAGAGAACTACCGTTTCTGCTTTAATATTTACATGTATTTTTTATAGACTTGCTGACTGTTATGATTCTGAAAAAAATCAGTGGTGAACGCGCTGCCCTGAAGGCAGAAAGCTGTCGCAGCTATTTTGCGTTCACCCCCCGTTTTACGCAATTAAATTTTTTTATAAGTATCACGACAGACTTCAAGAAAGTCAACTGTTAATACAACCACAGTCAACGAATAGAAAATAGTTTTTTGTTTTTTGCAGAAAAAGACCCCCTGGGCGTGTGCCCGGATATGACCTCAACTTCTTTATTATGTCAAAAGTGGGGGGTGGGCGTTTGTCCAGGCATGGGCTCTTACCCGGATAAGTACGGTATGTGTTGACTATTAGAACAGGCCAAGGATGCTGAGTGACCAATTCTTGTATGTGTTGACTATTAGAACAGGCCAAGGATGCTGAGTGACCATTTCTTGTATGTGTTGACTATTAGAACAGGCCAAGGATGCTGAGTGACCAATTCTTGTATGTGTTGACTATTAGAACAGGCCAAGGATGCTGAGTGACCAATTCTTGTATGTGTCGACTATTAGAACAGGCCAAGGGTGCTGAGTGACCAATTCTTGTATGTGTTGACTATTAGAACAGGCCAAGGGTGCTGAGTGACCATTTCTTGTATGTGTTGACTATTAGAACAGGCCAAGGATGCTGAGTGACCAATTCTTGTATGTGTTGACTATTAGAACAGGCCAAGGGTGCTGAGTGACCAATTCTTGTATGTGTTGACTATTAGAACAGGCCAAGGGTGCTGAGTGACCATTTCTTGTATGTGTTGACTATTAGAACAGGCCAAGGATGCTGAGTGACCATTTCTTGTATGTGTTGACTATTAGAACAGGCCAAGGATGCTGAGTGACCATTTCTTGTATGTGTTGACTATTAGAACAGGCCAAGGGTGCTGAGTGACCATTTCTTGTATGTGTCGACTATTAGAACAGGCCAAGGGTGCTGAGTGACCATTTCTTGTATGTGTTGACTATTAGAACAGGCCAAGGGTGCTGAGTGACCAATTCTTGTATGTGTTGACTATTAGAACAGGCCAAGGATGCTGAGTGACCATTTCTTGTATGTGTTGACTATTAGAACAGGCCAAGAGTGCTGAGTGACCATTTCTTGTACCGTATTTATCCGGGTATAAGCCCAGGGTCTTGAACATGGAAAATTGCCAAAAAGAAGGGGTGGGCGTTTGCCAGGAGATCCCCGGCAAAAAAAAAAAAAAAACGAAAATTCACGAAAATTGACATCACGCAGATCGAACTGCGGCAGGGAATAGAACGGCAAATGAAAACATGCAACGGAAATAAATGAACAATATGCAACACTAGAAGTAAAACAAAATTAATGTATTGCTTATAATGTGACAAATAAACCAGAAATA